AATAATATAATATAATATAATATAATAATATAATATAATATAATATAATATAATAATATAATAAATATAATATAATATATAATATAATATAATATGTGTGTGTGTGTATTCATTTTTCCAAATATTAAATCAGATTTAAAGTATAAAGTATATTAAAGCTATCAGCACTATTGCTAAAGTAGTAAAGGATGTGTGTCACTGACACTACATAATGCATACACATAGCAGCAAATCTTTCAAAGTGATATTCTAGTAATCTAAACAGCAGTTTTATAGGGTTGTCTTTTAAAAAAGTTTTTTCACTAGGATAAAAGGTCATATATATATAATACATGGGGGAAGGGAGAGGGGAAAGGAGGTTAAAAAGGCAAATCAATTTCAGTTTATAAACTGAGCAAAAAACCCTGTATCCCTGAGTACATGAAATTATGGGATTTATTTTTAAAGAAAATCATTTCTTGTTTAAAGAAAACATACTTAGAAATATAAATGCACAGATATAGAGAGATGCATTATGTACCATATTTATTTAAGATTTATTGCCCTGATTTATTGCCCTGTAATTACTGAAGTTCTGTTTCATGAAGGAGTGAAAGAAGTTGTTTGCATGATTCTCTACAAACCCTTTTTATTGTTGTCCTGGCAAACGGGGTTTTAGAACACAAAGATGTACAGTATAGAAACAAAACCTGTTGCTTACATCTCCCTGGATCGCTCTGAGAGATTCAGGTGAACTTTTCACGAAAACATCCACAACTGACAAACACTTGAATGGCAATGGTCAGAAATATCCCATAATTTCAACCCTAAATGAAATCCTCTGTGTTCTTGGAAGTTTGGAAATTTTTAGTCCCCATTCTTTACCCTAACCAAGCATAAAAGGGAAAGATAGCTTTGGTACATCAAGAACATTTGCACGCCCAAATAACAAAATTATCTACCAACCTACACTAGTGAGATAAACTCCATAAGAGTTTATCTACACTAGGGCTGAGAGAGAGAGAGAGAAAGTGGCCCAAAGTCACAGAGTCAGCTTCTACAATTAAGGAAGAACTAGAAACTGGGCCTTTTTGCTCTTAGTCCAGCATCTTAACTACTATACTACCTTGTGCTCTAATTAAATAAAGATGCTGAAGGAAATACCAATTCCAATTAATAACTAATAACATAGTAACTATGAAAGAAGTTTTGTGCTTTGCTTCAATATTCTGATTTTTGCTTTGCTAATATGAATGAGAACCCAGTTTATTCCTACTAGACCCATAATTTGCTTATCAGATATTAATTTATTCTGCTCACTTCTGTAGACCCTTTCTGACATTAGATCAAATAATTGTAATAAAAAACCTGTGAATTATTAAAAATATATAAGATATTGTAAATTATTCCTTTTTAAATTTCATATGCATTGAACTTCAACAAAATAGATGCTTCAGACCTCCGTTGAAGCATAATAAAATAACAGAATGAGTTCTATAATGTGAAAGTGCTTATTCTAAGGATTCTCTTTTTTAAAAAAAATGCATTATACAAAAACATTATTTTTCCCATTATCTACTTGAAATTGTTAACTTTTAATGGGCATAAGCATTCTCAACATTATACAGTGCACCTCATTTCAGCTTTCCAAGTATGGGAATAATTCAAAATAAATTAATAAACAAAGAAACAAACAAATTCCAGAAGCCTGTAAAGTCTATTTGAATAACCATTTTAAATAGTTCCAAAAGTCTGAGGTAGGGAAAATCTTCCTGTATTTTAAAAAATTAATATTTATTACGCCACAAGCAAGAAAAAGTCCACATTTTGAGATGGTGGACAACATCTGGAATTTTGAAAAGTCAGAAACATCTGCCATTAAGAGTGGAAGCAATGGTGGATAGAAGATATCAATTCATGAAAAGGCAAACCTCAGAGCACTCTTTTTCAAGGTAGGTGAGTATGTATCCAAGTAATGCATTGTGATGCAACCATCCATTATTTCCATTTTCTAACAATGCCTAAGGCAGCGGTTCTCAACCTGTGGGTCGCGACCCCTTTGGGGGTCGAATGACTCGTTCACAGGGGTCGCCTAACACTATCCACCTCCACCAGCGTCCCCCATGCTCAGGAGCATGTCCTGAAGCGGCAAGTGCATGAAGAATGCCAGGTGGCGAAGCAGCCTCCTCCCGGCTCAGACGCCCCCCCCCCCCGCCCGGTCTCCATGCCAGGGTAAGGCCAAGGCGCTGAAGGGAGAGAGAGATGGGTTCTTCTGGGTGGCGGATAAACCTCGGCTCCAACGAACGTCCTGCTTCAACCCAGCCGCCTGCACAGGGACTCGAAGGCGCCCAGAGAAAAGGAGAACAGCAGGGCAGTCGGGCCAACCGCTTCAGCTGGCAGGACGGGCTGTCGCCCAAGCAGGCACATGCCAGGATTAAAGCCACCTTGGGCCTGGACGCTGCCTTTGCCGTCCCGCCGCCGGTCCTGTCCTGTGGGCTAAACTGAGCTTGGAGGCTTTTTGGCCCCCGGGAAGGGCTGGCAGGAGAGGTCAGAGGGGAGGACAGGCCCCGCCCACCCATTCCTTCCATCCCAAGGAATTCCACTCAGGAATGTTTAAAATCCCATTTAAAGGGCAACTTCTTAATCTGTGTTAAATCGATTGAGGGAGGGAGGAATGGAAAGAAAGAAAGAAAGAAAGAGGAAGGAGGGAGGAATGGAAAGAAAGGAAAAAAGGGAGAAATAGAAAGAAAGAAAGAAAGAAAGAAAGAAAGAAAGAAAGAAAGAAAGAAAGAAAGAAAGAAAGAAAGAAAAAACTGGGTGGGTGGAACAGAATTTTAAAAAAGTAAATTTAATAAAGTGAAACTCATGTAAACCACGAACTACAGCTGGAAGCAGGCAGGGAGGTCATTTTATCCTGGAAAATCCCAGCCTGACTGATCTTCTCCCAAACCAAGATTGGCAGATTAATCACTATGCTTTAATTATGCTCAATTTGTAATAATGAAAATACATCCTGCACATCAGATATTTACATTATGATTCATAACAGTAGAAAAATTACAGTTATGAAGTAGCAACGAAAATAATTTTATGGTTGGGGGTCACCACAACATGAGGAACTGTATTAAAGGGTCACGGCATTAGGAAGGTTGAGAACCACTGGCCTAAGGGATGCTAGAAGGAGCTCAGAAGCATTCTTATGATTAAAGAATAATACTAGAGCTGTCTGCTTTGCTGCAAGACAACTTCCTCTTTAAATTTACCACTAAAAGTATAGAAAAAGTATGAAGGGATTCTGAGGGCCATGAAGGGAAGTAGTTTCAGATACACTTATACCTATATGTCTCTACCACAGAGCTTTTCTACAACAGAATCCACTGATAATAAAGTATTCCTTTCTGAAGATGTTGTTTATTCTTTGTTGTGGTTTATTCTAATACTGTGTAGCAGAAAATTGAGACTCATTATGTACACTTTTCAAATTTACCTGTTTCTTTCAAGTTCCGTAGTGCGGCTGAGTCTACCTCTACTGATTTTGATTTCAATGGTAACTGTTCAGAGTCTATCTTTGGTTTCACTGCTGGCTCAATTTCGGACTTTGGTCTCCAGGATGTAATTTCCCCATTTATCCTATGTTTGAAAGTTAAATAATTTTATCAGCAATTAAGGAAAAATAAAACATATAACAAAAGCTTTTACAAAAATTACATCAGTTCTTCAAGAATCCAGTTCTTCAAATTGTGAGTTAGAGGCTGAGATATATGCAGAGACGCTCTTCTTACATGGAGATTTCCTCCTTCAGTTCTCTTTTAACTAACTGTTTACTACAACTTATGATTTACATACTCAGCAATTTATGGTTTCAACATAACCTTGAGAAATAAAGTAGAGAAGTTACATTTCACCATTCTATGTGCTTGAGAAAATAACAATAAAGAAAACAAATTGAGATGGCAAAAACAAGTGTGCATGTAAAAACCTACAGCATGTTCTCCCAACCTCAAAATGATTCTTTAGAAGGATAGGCTTATAAAAGGTAAATAAGGATGTATTAATTGTTTGCAATATAGTTACATATGCAATTCTTAACATGTTCAAGTTTTGTCTCACAGCAATTTCAAAACGGCATATCAAAGAATTTCACGCGCAAAATAAGATACTTACTTGGAAACTGGTGGTTGCAAAACTGTTTTATCTGGCCATTTTGAAAGCAAGAGCCCAGCTTTTAATATGTTATTAGCCTTGTTTGGAGGGACAGGTTTTTTTGGTGGTACTTGGGGAGCCACTGGTTTAGATATCTTCTGATCCAACACTGGTTTTTCATCTGGGAACAGAATGAGAGAATAATGTTTACCATAAAAATAATGTAGAAATGATTTATGAAAGTTTCTTCCAAGGGCATAGGCAATTCTGAACAAATACCCCAATTTGCATTCTGGAAGCAATTTCAAATAAGCTTTAGTTGAATTAAGACTAAGGAATCTTGCTTCCTTTAGTTTATTTTCTCAGGTTCATACAGCTGCAACAGACTCTTTTTAAATAAATACAAGTGGAATCCAGCATATTATCGCATTTTCAGAGTATAAGACGCACCTTTTTCCCTCAAAAAAGAGGCTGAAAATCTGGGTGCATCTTATACACTGAATACAGCATATTTTGCCTCCCAAAACCCTGCCCCTTTCACCAAAATTGCTGTGCATAGCCTTTAGGAGCCTTGCAGAGTGCTCCTGGGGGCTGGGGAAGGCAGAAATGAGTGAAAAAGAAAAATCTTTTGCTCATTTTTGGCTTCCACCTCACCCCCAGGAGCACTCTACAAGCCTCCTAAAAGCTATTCATGTCCTTTTTTATGAAAAGAAAACCAGGCCTGTTTTCGTGAAAAACGGCTCATTTTTGGAGGTTTACAGAGTGCAAAAACTTTTTTTTGAATTTGCCTCTTCAAAATCTTGGTGAGTTTTATACTCAGGTGCGTCTTATATTCCAAAAAATAAGGTATTCATAAAGTCTGTAAAATATTGATTTTCCCCGGCTGCAGGATTTATTAGCAAAGTTTTTGCAGAAAATCATGAATTTATATTCTTTAAAATGTATGAGAGGTAGTTTGGTCTAATGGTTAAGGCACTAGGAAGCTGTGAGTTCTAATCCTCCTTTTGGCATGAAAGCTGGTTGGATGGCTTTGGGCCAGTCTCTCTCAGCTCAACTCATAAGGTTGTTGTTGTTGTAGGACAGTGTTTCCCAAACTTGGCAACTTGTAGGGGAAAATAGGACGAGGAAGGAATATTAGATATGTTCACCATATCAAGTTATTTATAAAAATAGTAAAAGTAGGGAAAAAACTCTTTAAAAATCTATTTTGGATGGAGTTTAAATTTCTTTTTACTGCCAACAAAATAAATTTGACACAACTTTCGACTGTTTTACAAAAACTATTTATTTTTAATCTTCATATGCCTAATATTACACTGAACAGTATTTTTAGTTAGTGCTTCCTAACAGGGATACACACAGAGTTTTAAAATTCTACAAATATTATATGCATTTGCTTATTTAGCTCTTTTTTAACTACCTGAATCATAGGCTTATATTTATACTAAAGTTGCTTTGTTTTAAACTACAGTCCTGAACATTTATATTTTTAGTATCGGGGATAAACCTGATCTTACCCTTTTCTTCATTCCTGAGATGAGGAAACTTCTTCTCCACAGGCAGAAGATCAGCCTTAGAACCTGCAGATAGAGCCAATAATTAAAAATCACACTGCTTTAGTAGAGAAACTACTCTATGATCATTAATACTGAAATGTATTGTACATCTATCAAATATGTGGCAGAACTAGAAATCCAATTAGAAGTGCTGTCTGGCACAGGAATTTTATTCCTTAAGAACAAGAATTGTTTTATGGCGTAGACTTTTAAAATTTATATGATGGAATATATCGTTAAAAAGATGTTTTAACTATGGGAAAAAATAGTTAAAACACTATCAAATGGAAGTACGTTCAGGATTATCTCATTTGTATTCATAGAAGTCATGAATTCATATATATATATATATATATATATATATATATATATATAAATTATTGTATAGGTGAATCACAATTAATGCGAGTTTGAATAGTGCACAATTTGATTGTGATTTATAAAATGATACTAGGCTGTGACTAGCACATGAGCAGTTACCATTGAGATTAGAGATGTGTGTGCAAAAATGGAGAAGAGGAAGTTTTCTACTGGAGGAAAGCTCAGAAAAGAAAATGCTCATTTTGAAGAACTACAGCAGAATACAAGAGATACCACGTATACTTTGGGTATGGGTTCACCCTCTTTTGCTGTTATAGTGTTTCATTAATAAACATACAAAATATAGTTAGAATTTTTAACTGGCAATTTCTATTGAAATGGAACCAATTATCTTATTTTCTATGCAACTATTACTTTGAATATTGTGGTGAAATCCCATTTCATGGGTTTTGTTAACTGCACTAATTGAGACCTTCAACATCTGTATGTATAGCAGAAAGTGATGGCTCACAAGAAGTCACATCATTGTTTCCAATAATGAAAACTGTCTATGTTTCAATGCATTTCATCACTCATACTGATAGGCAACATCTTAAAAAACAATTCTGATTGAGATATTTTTTCATTCATAATATATTAATAATTTTGAATCAATTACACTCTCTTTTGCAATTATGGTCTAATAAAACCCTATCTTACATACCTTGACTTTTTGCAGGAGGTGGTGGCTTCTTTGGCTTCTGCAAAGAGGACAAAATATAAGTAACTAATATTCATGCCAAGTATTTTCTTGAATTAAGACCCAGAAGACAACAGATATACTCAGTAACTTAATTGTAGTGTTTATAGGTTACTGGTGCAAGGATTACAAATCTTAGGCAAACCAAAGTTTTCGAAAATGATCAGGAAAATGATTGCTGAGAAAGAAGAGGAAGCAGAGAAGGCAGGGGGGATAAACAACTAATTCTCTTTCTCCTCTATGTTATTTGTTTATCTATCAAAATTGTATGCCATTCATCTTGCCAAAGGAGACTCTTCTTTCTCAGAAATCTTTTATTCTGCCTAAGCAGAAGTTTTATTACTACTCATTTAGAAATAAGAGAGTATTTGTGAAGGTAAGGTTAAGTGGCACAGTGGTTAAATGCAGCACTGCAGGCTACTTCAGCTGACTGCAGTTCAGCAGTTCGGCTGTTCAAATCCCACCAGGCTCAAGGTTGACTCAGCCTTCCATCCTTCCGAGGTGGGTAAAATGAGGACCTGGATTGTTGTTGGGGGCAATATGCTGACTCTGTAAACCGCTTAGAGAGGGCTGAAAGCCCTATGAAGCGGTATATAAGTCTAACTATTGCTATTAATGTACAGGTGACTATTGTTAGCTACACTTTCCAGAAAAATGTGCAATAGACATACAAAGATAATCGAAAAAATTGGTAGCCATCCGGGAACAAAACAACAATGAACCCAATTTTTCAAATTCACTGAATTGTATCTAAAATAACTATTAGAAACTAGTCTGAACTTTTTTTTAAAAAAAAAAAACCTGTAACACAACATTCAGAATATTTCCTGGGCCTTGTCTACAATTTGCTAGTGAAATACAATTAAGAAATTGAATGAGTTAGACTGATCAAAAGATCAAGAATTTGAAGACAAATTTTGCACTTAGCAATTCTTTTTTTTTACTACTTTGAACAATTTGATATCTCTAACTTTATCTCTAACTTTATATTGCTTATAAACACTTAATTAGTATTATTCTTGATACCAGGTTCTGGATGATATTACCCTGAACATCTCTCTGATTTAATTATTTTTCATTTATTCCTTTATTTTACCACCTGTCTCTGAGATATCTGTCAAAATTTGCTCAGGAATCCATTCTGTAAGCTTGTTAAGTCATCCATAGAATTCCAAGTATATAATGTGTATTATAACACCTTTCCCAAATATTTCTAGTCACTAGTGCAAGTTGCATTTTCTTATTCTTTAAATATACATTGTTCTGTATGCTTTAGAAAGATTTCCATAATCCCTAGTCACCACACCTTCTGATAACCCAAACACATAGTTTAAGAATAACATATGCCTTACTAGTATGCTAGGAAGAAAATTTAGATTTTTATAAGTTTAATTTTGCTGAGGGTTTTAGGACCAAAGCCAGGATCTTTATTTGAACTAAAAATAAAATATATCTTGGAGCCAAAAATGAAAATACTAACTTTCTTATAGGTATGCATCATTTTGGGTTCACATTTCCAAAAGAAGCTTTAGAGTGATGGGAGTGCAAATGTAGCATTTGTTTACATGAACTCAAAAAGGTGCAGATGTATGATTTAAGATCAAGAGCATTTGTTTTCAGAAGATGAAGACAAGGGTTGCATCCATGGCCCTGCACATTCTGAAGCAATTTTTGGAGACTGAACTTGAAGTGCTGAACATGGTAGCAATAGTGTTTGTCTCAATCCAATCTTCCAAAATCACTTCATTGCTCTTCATATCAGGTCTACGAGAAAGGCTAGGACACATGATAATGACTGGACCATTATGGCACCCAAATAAGATTTCTCCAAAGAGCTCCATTGTTATGGCAATGCTATATTAACAGAACAATTGCAAGGCCAAAATAATTAAACAAAGAAAATGGAATGTTGAATTTGGAAAAAAGCCTGGGACACCATATATATGAATCTATAAACACACTACTTGGTTATTAAACCAGCTTTTTAAAGAAAAGCTAAAACTTTTTAAAAACTGCAATAAGTACTTACGGGAAAATCTTTATCAGATTCATGAATCTGAACTGCAAAGTTATCTGGAAAAACTCCTTCTTTGCCATTAAGAAGGCCTCTCCACCATCCTTCCTCCCCAGTATCCTAAAACAAAATTACTAAATGTATATTCACTTTACACAACAAATAAATGTTCAGGTTTCATCATCTACCCACCAGCTTACATTACCATATTTTTCAGAGTATAAGACCCACCATTTTCCCTCAAAAAAGAGGCTGAAATCTGGATGCGTCTTATACACTGAATACAACATTTTTTGTCTCCTGAAACCCCACCCCCTTCACCACAATGGCCATTCATAGCTTTTAGGATGCTTTCAGAGAGCTCCTGGGGGCTGGAGAGGGAAGAAATGAACAAAAAACTCTACAAGCCTCCTAAAGACTATTCATGCCCCTTTATTGAAAAAAAAACGTACCCGTTTTCGTGAAAAATGGGCCGTTTTGGGAGGTTTGCAGAGTGCAAAAACTTTTTTT